TGATCTTTGCGGGCCATTATATTAATATGAGCTGTAAATATAGGAATATTTTTAGAATTATTTATTATCTATGAATTAATTAAGTTTAACTATCTAATTCAATCACATGAAAGTTCTGCGCAAGCGAGAGATTGGAGTGCGATAACGGTAGCCGATAATATACAATCAGTGTTATATCTTGTATCGAAATTTTTAATTTTTTTGAAAATGGCGTGTAACGTTAGTAGCGATTTAATATTAGATCATTGATATTTTTTTTTTGAAACTCTTACGTAATAATATTATTAAGATTATGAAATATTACCAAATATCATGATAAGTTTTAAATCTATTACTTATTTAAGGGTAGAGAGTCTAGGCCGTGTGATTTTATATAATTATCAGCAATATCTTCTTTTAAGTCACTCGCCTCATACACACCAAAAACTAGTTTTCATAAGGCGAAATTAACATAAAGTCATAATCAGCATGTATCCAATCATACGGTAATAAAAAAAGTTCTTTGTTATTAGAAGATTTCAAAAAAACCTTGTAAAGCTAAAAATAGTTTGTGAATCCCTTAGTAAAACATAATAAATTTTTTTTTTATATATTTATATCGAAAACCAAAAGGATTTCACAACGTAAATGGTATTATTAGCAGATTATTGTCAATCAATTCCTTTTATAAATAACGCGTCATAATATTTTATTCTATAGTTAGCTCGGTCTAAATTTTAATATATAGAAGCCACTTTTTGTCCTACCTTTTAAAAAAATAGTGTGTGTTATTATTGGTTGATAGAATTTCTCAAAATTATTTTTAGTACTCGCCACCGTGAATGATTGGCAAAAAAATTTTTTGTCTCGGCATAATGGAATGTTTGTTTCTATTTCAGGAAATTTGTTCGCTAAACCAACTAATATTAATATCCCGTAAAAATCGAACTTTCGATTAAATTATTATTATTATTATGTGATACATGTTACGTTAAAAAATAAATTTTATTTAAATAATAATATGAATACAAATAATAATAATAAAATACAGTTGATAAAATTTTTTAAAAAAACAATTCATTCATTTAAATCGTTGACATTATATAAAATAATCTCCCATTCTTGTTTGCACTTGTTCTTGGAAATTTCACTTTTTAATCTTTTGACATTTTTAATTACTTGAAAATCAATATCTAAATTTTTTGCTGTGCATATTTAAATGCAATTTCCGGAGCTTTTATAGTTTATATATCAGTGATCATTGGTTCAGGTTCACCTGTTTCATAATTGTCATCATCAATTTCATTTTGACCTTTTACAATATTTACGATTTCTTGTGTTGTCATTTCTTTTCGAACAAGAAGATTGTCAATCGTAGCATATCCATTGACATATAAATGATCTTGAAACGGAAGTTGAGTGACCAAACTGTTTTGTTTATTTCATTTACTTCTGATTGATTTTCGTTAACCATCAAATTAGTTGTTGTATTTTGATTAATTATATTAGTTTTTTCCCAACTATTTTCAATCGTTTTATTGTTACTTGTTTCCAAGCATCAAGACAAAATTCAGAAATTTGGTTATTATTACTCACTGTTGCTTCTTGATACGTTCTAATTTTCATTTTAAATAAAAAATTTGAAAATTAATTAAATTAATTTATATTATATTAAAATAAAAAAATATATTCGATTAATTAATTACCTTTAAACTATAAATTATTCCTTGGTCTAAAGGTTGTAGAATAGATGTAGTATTAGGAGGAAGAAAATGAACTTTAATATTTGATAAAATAGATGTAGTTTCGGCATTATGAGAGCTTGCATTATCTAAGAGCAAGAGTATATTTCTAACCATCTTACTATTAAACCTTTCTAGGTAATGTTTAAAGATGCTTCTTTGCATACATGTTTTAGTATTCCAATAATACCAACTGGAAGTTAATTCATCTCAAAGGTCTTGGATTTCGTGTTTATGAATAAAAAGGAAGGAAGCTTTTCTCCAGTTGAACTGCAAGTAAGCATAGCAATTATACGATCATTAAGACGTTTTCTTCCTAGAAGTGGTGCATAAGCAATTTTCCTGTTAGATTCTAACCTCCAGAATAATGCAGTCTCATCATAATTCCGTACATCATTCTTGTAAGATTTCTTGAAGTCGAAGCAATTTCATGAATAGGAGCACTCATTGATCCGCCTCTTTTTTTATAGCTATGCAAATTATTTCTGTTTTTAATTTTAGCTAACCATCCTGTAGAAGCATTAAAATTATCAATTTCAAAAATATTAGCAAGTTCTTTTGCTTTTTCTTGAAATAATTAGGACCAATTAATGTTAAATCTCTAGCCAAAAGTTGGTCGACCCATATTCTTGCTACCTCTTCAATATCAGGATAATCAGAAGTTTTATTTCTATATTGATGACTAGCACTTGAAGAACTTGCATCATAATTTAACCATTGAGAAGATTGCTCCAATATATATATTAAAAACGGATTGTGTATATATTTCATACTCTTGGGCAATATCAATTCCTTTAATATTTGGATTGGTTCTTTTTTTTTATACTTTTTTCTCTGCTTTAGTCAATATTTATTAACATTTAAATTTTAATTAAATAATTTTAGGCAACTCATTTGAATTCTCTTCTGATCTGTTTCGTTTTGGACATGTTAATATTTTTGATTTTGATTTTTATTATTATTATTACTCATCAAATTTGATAGTTTTTCAATTCCAAATCAAAGATCTTTTATACCTATTTGAAAATAATTAAGAATGAGGTCATTTATAAGATTAAAGAATGATGACTTCAGAATTAGTCATTAACAAATAACCTTTAATCATTAGCATTCGCCAAGACATAGCTAGCAGTATGTTGGATTAAATTGTGAATGTATTGCTGACTATTACAATTACATGCATCATTATTATAACATTCTGTTTATTTTACATTATTAAGTAGAAATTTAATATGCAGACCATCCAAGGGTTTGGCAAATGTACAGTCCATTAATGGTTCATTGGTGGTCCATCGGGTCCATTAACATAACACTTTTTAATCATATTTAGTATTTTATTAATGTCAATAGACCAGTCAATTTGCCAATTCTATGCAGATCCAGGGTATTAAACTTAAGAGAGATCACGGAATCCAAAATTGTCCGTTATTTTTTTTTTAAAAAAATAAAAATTCATATATATATATTTCAAATTAAAGATTCTTTTATATTGGTATTAAATTACCCCCCCCCCCGTTTTCAGATTTTTAGCAATATAACAATAATAAATTATTGTTCAATAATAACCATTATAGACTTTTGATTTACATTATATTTACCATTTTGCATCGGAAAGCAATTTTTCCTAAATAGTAAAAAATATATACTGTATGTTGTAAAAGGTTACATAAATAGAAGTTTGTGAATGAGGTTTAGTTGCTTCTGCTTTTGAGAATTTGCACCGGAGTAATTTTTTTTACCCACGTTAAGTAAAGATCTAGCATATTGACCTTCTGTCAGCCATTAGATGGATATACCACATATTATATTTATTTTTCCTTATTAGCCCGATATAAAAGAAATTTATTTCAAAGAAATAATTTTGCTAATAAATAATTTCTATAGTCAATTTGAAAAAGGATGAAGGTGGAACAAAATTTTCTAAAAAATAATTATCATTTTGCAAAGTTTTTTTTCATACAGGTAATGAATGCTATGCAAAGTTGGATCACTTATTATTCTGCAGCATGCTAAACTGAATTTATAACAATGAATAATTCTAACAAGATTTTTTTCTGAATTTAAAATAATAAAATTACCATAAAAATAGTTGAGAATTACCATTAAAGCTAGCTACATTTTTTTGTAATGTTGCAATTCTATTAATTTTTTTCATAAAATTCATACATGTATTCTACATGGAATCCACAGCTGCCCAAGAGTAAACTATTTATTTTAATATAAGAAAGTGAAAATTTTTACATTTTGAAACCCAAGTTCTACCCACAAATCTTTGCATGATTTCATGTGACTTTGCATAATCTAAGTACAAAATTTCATAATATGGGGCATGCTGCAACAAAATCAGACAAAGTGAATATTATGTCACACAGAATTACATAGATGCAATTGATTTCTAAAAGACTAAATATAGATTCTTTATTATGAATGTTGATTTGTATAATCAAAAACCTATCACGATGATTAATTATTACCAATCACATATTTTTATTATTATTTTAAGATTTTAATTAATTTGCAATATCACAACAACAATAGTTTCATTATTATATCTTTACTTAAAACACAAATGCATCTAATTTTATCTATTAAACCCATAGAGAGTTACTCCTTGTCTCTTAAGCGCGTATACTATATATAGATAGTAAATTAAAAAAAAAATTTTTCAAAAAAACATTAAAAAATAGCATTTGAATGATAACTAACCGACATCTAAAGACGTGACTGTCTTGCATCTTGCATATTCTGTGTACGTCACAGTGTCCTAAAGGATGATATTCATAGTAGAAAAGTAAATTACTATTACTATTACTATTATTTACATTTATTATCATTACATACTCTTATCACGTTTTCAAGAAACATCTTTAATACACTTCGAGTCTCCTCATAAACAAGCTCAGAAATACGCCTAACACCACCTCTTCGTGTTAACCTCCTAATTGCCGGCTTAGTAATTCCCTGAATATTTTCTTTAAATGTCTTACGACGGTATTTCACTCCTCCTTTTCTTTCTGTGGTTGTAGTGGTAAGAACGGTAGGTATATCATCAGTATCATCAATGAAGGTATTATTATTATTATTATTATTATTATTATTATTATCAGTTGTTGTTGTGTTATCAGTTGTTCCAAAACCATTATTGTTCTTTTGTTGTAATATTTAGGAATTAAATTAGTTGAAAAACATATCAATAATCAAAAAGCTTGTTAAATTCTCACCTCTTCTACTTCATATTCGTATGTTTCAGAGATATTATCAGATTCATCGATGTATTTGTTAAAAAGTTTGTCCAAGTTTTCCTAAAGAATCTTTGACTTTATTTACTGCTTCTTTTTCATTTTCAAGGACCTTTAAAATTACATCATTCGGCACATTACTTGATTCACCATAATTGTGAATTGTGTTTATTATTAATTGCTAAAAAAAGGTAAATTATAAATTAAATTCAAGTCCAATTCAAGAAAAAACGATCAAGAATAAAATATCCAAAAGAAACGAGTTGCTTGCTTTCTTATCATTCCTAGATTTATTATTATTATTTTGCGAAAATTAGTATTATAACTAGAATGACTATCATTCTTATAATAAATTTTAATAGCTAATAATAAATAACACTTACTCACGATCGCGGGCAATACCATTTCCATTTTGTCTCTTTATTCTGATATCTTTGTTGGTGTTGGGCATTTTCTTGTTATTGATTAATTTTTCACTATGCAAAAGGTTTGGTTAGTTGATTATTACGCGTGTGTTGTTGTACAAAAATTCCTATTGTTATTGGGACGCGCAGTTGGGTTTTTTTTTTTTTTTTTTGGAAAAACAATTAAAATAACGACATTCGTATTTGCCATCTTGGTTGGTTCTGCTAAAGGAGTGTTATTTATTGACAGCGAGCATACGTTTTCTTTTTTGTATTTGTATATCGAATGTGTATGCCTTTTATTCTATAAATGTATTATTGAAATCAAATCGTGAAGCAGAACTTGTCATGACTTTTAGGTAATTATTATTCTTGATGACAACAAATAAACGATTAGTATCATTTTACTTTTCATATAATGATTATTTAACATTAACATTAAATAATAATAAACAATTATAAGATGATGTCAAAGCAACATAACTGTTGAAAAACAATTCGATAACGAAACATTTCGATATGTAATATTCGATTTTACAGATATCCAAGTACACACTCTACCATAAACACATACAGTCATTCTCGCATGTTCCTCATATTCACAAGGTTAATCTGACCTGCGCCCCCTGATGATATGATGATGCAACCAAACTCCGGGGAGGGGGAGCATGGCCCTGGAATTTATAGAGATTGCATCAACATCAATGACACTTGCATGAACCTTCCCTCACAGCACCTGAGCTGGCAATACTCGGATAAACATGTTTTGACATCAAGAGGAAAGTTATAAAATAGTGTCCATTCTATATAAATTAATTATTTTTTAAATTCTCTGTTTTAACCAAATTATAATTTTGGATAGAGGCATGGGTTTTTGCCCAAATAGCCCAGATGTCACAAGTGTCAATTCCCATCAATCAATGTTCATATGACACAGCCAAGTCTGGCCTGAGTGGAAGATATGGAAAGTTTTTGACAACCTTCCAACATGTTCAGGACTTTTTCACTTATGGAAAAATTTCTGTAGTGCTGAAATGTGCATTGCACCGTCCTGCATGTTTGTGATAGGAAAAATTTATTAAATCTGACACCTGTAATCAACATCAGATTTATTATTCATAAGAAACCATACAACAGGAAGGGAAAATAATTTTTTATTATCCTTCCTATTTATTTATTCTTGTGAACACCAGAGATCTGGGTAGACACATTATTAAAAGTTTCATTTATGCATGACCTTGGTGTTATTACTACTTGGGTGATGCAATTGTTTGTTATGTCAATGATGATATCAAATGTATTGAATCATCATTGTGATGAATGTGAGGACAAAGGAATTTGTATATGAGAAAAGGATTAGATGACAACAAAAAGCTAAGTATTATCTATATAATTATTTATATTAAAAATTTATTATTTTAATCCACTTTTGTAATGCCATTAATTTCAATAATTCTGAAGGTTAATGATTGAAATCAATCACACAAGTGGTAGTCAATTTATAAAAAATTAGTTTTTTGTAATGATATTTGTTTTAAATTTGTTAAAGGATTTTTTTAATTAATGTTTTTTTTAAAAAATATTAGTGAAAATGTTTTTGATAATCAATTTCAGTCCAAAATCAATCATATTTTCTTTATTTCCTTTTATGATAAAAAATAAATTTAAAAATTTGCTTTGTTTTTATTTTAGTAGATTTAAATAAGTTCAGCAAAAATGCACATGATTTATCTACAAAAAAAATATCAATCAACTTGTATAAAGATGATTGATTGATTGATTATCAATTAAAAATAATAATAAGAAATATAGGAAATTGAAATTTGCATGAAACTACTACTACATACAACACTAATTTTAAAATAAAAAACCTGTTTTACTGTTTTAGTATAATTAACACAAAACAATGATTTTCTTTAATCGTTTTTTTAGAAATAACAATAATTCTCTTTTATTTATTTGTTTGTCAATTTTAGTCTGATCAATTATTATTATTATTTTGTAAATCAAATAGTAATTTCAATGATTTTTTTTTTTCAAAAATATCAATAATTCTCTACAAATAAAATGATCATCATTTATTTGTTTATCTGTTTTGGTTGAATAAATTTCAGGTCTCAAGATAATTTATCTTATCCATTTTTAGTAATAATAAATAACTTAATTATTTTTCATGGAACCAGTTGAGGATTTTTATATTTCTGATATTTATTTGCAGATCCATTCAAATTTAATTCTTTTGCTCATCACCACAGGACCAATTTTAGAATCTCTTCAATTTTAAAATAAATGAATACCTACAAAGTGAACATAAAATTATAAAATTATATATAGGATAGGTGTATATGAAAAATAATAATAAATATAATGGTTCTAATGAATATCAATAAACAATTGATTTTTTAGAAAAAGGTTGTAAATGTGGTTGTTCTTCAAGAATCCCCAAAGAAGGATTTGCAGAATTAAGTGAATCCTTTCAAGCTCTCACTAAATTAGAACAAGACATATTTTTAATGGCCCAACTTAAAGCCATGGATGGTGGATTAATAGCACTAGTAGACGCCTTAAAAAGAAAACCAGATCTAACAAAAAAACTTTCTATCACTGGGATCACAATACACTCCTTTGTCAAGAAACTTATCTCAATATGCTAGGGATTGGTAGAACTTATTTTGAACATATCAGAAATCATCTAATAAATAATGGTCATTTACCAAGAATTCATGGTAATATCAAAAGAATGCCTCAATGAAAAACTAAATGGTGATTGATAAAAATGTTGCTGAAGTAGTAAAGAATTTTCTGGAAAATTATGCAGAAGTTTATGGCTTACCAAGTCCAGGCAGAAGTAACAATATAATAACTCAATCAATTGTATTCTTGCCAGCTGAAATGAGTTACAAATCAGTCCACAGATATTTTCTAGATGGTCTGGACAAATTGAAATCCTTAAAATATGATGTTTTCAGAAAATTATGACATAAATTGACACCAGAAATTCAAATTATGAGTCCAAGGACTGACTTGTGTGATACTTGTCAACATTTTCGAAATGGTTTA